TCTTCTTCTTCTTCTTCTTCTTCTTCTTCTTCTTCTTCTTCTTCTTCTTCTTCTTTCTTCCTTCTCCCCTCCCCTCTCCCCCTTCCTGTCCTTCTTCCCCCCACCTCTTTCTTTTTTCTTTTTCTTGTATTTATATACAGGGTCTCACTACACAGATTGGACTCTTAGTGATCCTCCTGTTTTCAGCCTCCCAACCCAAGTGCTGGGATTACAAGCATGCGCCACCATGCCCTGTCTCAATCAATGTCTCAGTGTGCCTTGGGGATGGGGGCAGCAGGGCACACCAGGGATTGAACCCTGGTCCCTGTGCTCTGCCTAAGCAGGTGCTTTAATTTGCTGAGCTATCTGGCTGGCCCTAAAGGCAGTGAATAATGTATTTTTGTTTTTCAATACCAGGGATTGAACTCAGGACCTTGTGCTTGCCAGGCAAGTGCTTATTGTACTGAACTATCTCTCCAGCCCCTCAGTTCTTCTTAACACAGGGTCTTTCTCTAGGAATCGAACTCAAGACCTTGCATTTGCCAGGCAGGTGCTCATGCCACTTAGCTATCTCTCTGGCCCCAACACTGACTTGTAATTGGTTTCTCTGTAACTTTTACATTTCACTTTTGCGTGTGTGTATGTTTTAGGGAAGGTTCTACAGGGTGTGCAGGGTCTCACTGCTGGATCAGACTCGTAGTGATCCACCTGTTTGTTTACAGTCTCCCAAGAGCTGGGATTACAGACACGCACCATGTCTAGTCTCAGTTGCCCAGTCTTAATTGCCATCTCAGCATGCCCCAGGGGTCTGGCCAGCACAGCAGGCCTAGGGATTGAACCCCTGGCCTCTGTACCTGCTTGCAGGCACTTTAATATGCTGAGCTATATGGTTGGCCCCTTTTTTTTTTTGGTCTTTTTGACCCAGTTTCACTATGCTGTTCAGGCTGGCCTTGAACTCAGTTTGTAGCCCAGGTTGGCCTCAAATTTACAGCAATCCTGCCACCTCAGCCTCCCAAGTGCTGGGATTACAGGCATGTGCTATTATGCCTGGCTTTAAATTTTGCATTTAAAACAAGAGTAATGGGGCTGGTGAGATGGCTCAGTGGTCTAAAGCACCTACTTAGAACAAGCTAAGCTAAGCAAAGCACAGGGACCGCGATTCAATCCCCCAGCACCACAAGCCAGCCAGCCCCACCCCCTGGTGGGCTGAGCTGGCCACACACACACACACAAAATAATAAATAAACAAAATAAAACAAGAGTAATTTTTCCTTTAATATTGCTAGCTGTGCCCTTTATGCTTAAGATATATGTGTGTAACTTCCTCATAGGTTATTGGCTGTTAGGAGAACTCAAAGACAGACTTCAATTTTCTGTATACTCAGGCACTTTGTGCTTCTTTTCTAGATCAGAAAATCCCAGCAGTAAGTGAAAGGCCTCTGCCTGCTCCTCTAATCAGGATCACAAAGACAGTGGTTCCCAAGGATCCAGCTGCTAACATCATGTTAGAAAGACCCTGCAATGCCAGGTAGGTGTTAGGCACCTTGTCTGTTCTGTCTGTGCTAGTTGGTTGCTTTTACTTGTTGAGTTCCAGATCCCTTCAGTTCCCTCAAGACAGAGAGATTGTTAGAGCAAAATCTGCAAACTCCAGTCAGGAGCCTTTTGGCACCTACCAATAGTCAGCAGGCTCTTCATGTCGAGAGGCATACTTCGCTACATGTGGGTTGTGCTAGTTGTTCAGTGTAAGATTTGCTTTAAGAATTATTTTAGAGGGGCTGGTGAGATGGCTCAGTGGTCTAAAGCACCTACTTAGAACAAGCTTAGTAAACCACAGGGACCACCGTGGTTCAATCCCCCAGCACCACATGCCAGCCAGCCCCGCCCCCTGGTGGGCTGAGCTGGCCACACACACACACACACACACACACAAACAAATAAATAAAAATTAAAAAAAAAATTATTTTAGAAACAGTAATGCTCATGGAGCTGAGGGGGAGTGCAGTGAAAAGGGGAGTGACGATGGTGATAGGATATTGAGTTTTATTCAGTATGGAAAAGAGTCTTTGGTAACCAAAATATCAGGGTAAATTAACAGCTCACCATACTTTACCAGTGATTTTTGAGTACCTAATCTTTATTTCCCCTCAGTTCCCTGGATGAAAGTATAGACACAGAGAGATCAGAGAGAAGAGAGACTCTACTTCCCTCCCTTGCAGAAGACCCCCAGAAGAGAGAAGGCCAGACTCCCCTGTTTGTCCCACGTGGCATGCGGCGCAGCATTGGTGACTACTGTAGCCGGTTTGAACAGTACCTCCGTATCATAGCCCATGAGGCTGTAGGGTCCTTCAACCCATGGCTGATAGCTGAAAGGTCAGTAAATTATGTGTGCCTCTGGTTAGGAGCCAAGGGCTAGATTTTAGGCTTATGGAAAAGCTGAACAAGGGCTGCTGTACATGCTTTTGGGCCGTGGAGTTCCAGTGCTTGATCATGGGCTAGAGGGCAGGCTGGCTGAGACAGCAGAGCGCCACAGGCTCTGCCACCCCTAGAGCTCAGGCTGCTCTAGGGGACTTAAACCCTAGGTGTGTATTTTTCAGTTCTGGAAGGTGGGAAATCTAAGATTGAGGTGTTCAATCAAATTGCCTTATTTTATTTATTTATTTTGGTGAAACCGAGGATTGAACTCAGGCTCTTGCACTTGCCAGGGAAGCGCTTATTCCACTGAGCCATCTCCCCGGCCAGATTGCCTTCTTGTATCTTTTCCTGGTAGAGAAAGTAAGCTTTTGCTTGTCATCCTCCCTGCTTTCCTTCTTCCTTCTCTCCTTCCTCCCTTTCTCACTTCTCTTTTACTTTTCTCTTTTTTTTTTTTTTTTGGAGACAGGGTGTGGCTGTAACTCAGGCTGGCCTTGAACTCACTGTGTAGTCCAGGTTGGTCTCAGATTCAGAGATCCTCGTGCCTCAGCCTGCTGATTACTGGGATTACAGACATGTACCACCATGCCTGGCTTCTTCACCATCCCATCATGAGATCTGACCCTCCTGATTTTATCTAGATTTAAATACTGTGTAAACACCTCGTTTCTTTTTTCTTTTTTTGCGGTATTGGGAATTGAACTCAGGACCTTGTGCTTGCCAGATAAGCACTTATTCTATTGAGCTATCTTCTTGGCCCTTCTTTTTTTTTTTTTTTTTTTTTCTATTTTAGGGAAGGGTCTACAGAATGTGCAGGGTCTCACTGCTAGGTCAGTCTCATAATGATCCACCTGTTTATAACCTCCCAAGATCTGGGATTACAGGTGCACATCATCATGCCCAATCTCAATTGCTGTCTCAGCTTGCCCCAGGGGTGCAGCTGGCATGGCAGGCCCAAGTATCGAAGCCCCAGCCCCTGTGCCTGCTTGAAGGCACTTTAATCCACTGAGCTATTTGGCTGGCCCTAAGACCTCATTTCAAATATTGTTACATTGGGAATTAGAGCTTCAAAGTATGACTTTTGAGGTAGAGGCATAAATGTTCAGTTCTGAAGGCCAGGGTTATGACCTAGAATTAAGTCACAACTGGTCTCCTGCTGCTGTGAGGACGATGTCCCATCAAAGAACACAATACTTTCTTTTAGGGGCTGGGGAGATGGCTCAGTGGAATAAGCACTTCCCTGGCAAGCACAAGGGCCTGAGTTCAATCCCTGGTTCCACCAAAAAAAAAAAAAAAAGAACACAATACACTGCCGGCTGGGGAAAGTCATGATGATGAAGTCTGGTTGGGGACACTTCATGGGCAGCAAGCCTCTGGCTGCAGCATTTTCTTCTACCCTTCTCTGGGTCGTCTTCCCTAGGAAATCAAAATAGGAATTTTTGATCCTGCAGCTACTATACTTTGAAGAATGGATAATCTTTTTTTTATGAACACAACACTGAAAGGATTTGAATAAAACCATTCTTTTTTTAGGGGGGGTCAAAATTTAAATACCCATGGATATCAGTTTATTAAAACCATGCAACATATTTTTCCTGGAGCTAGGTAATATATTTCTTAAAGAAATTTTAAAGTATTCAGTAGTTAATAATTACCTCCCTTTTTTACTTTGCCTCCTTTTTTTTTTTTTTTTTTTTACACGTTTATTAACTTTCTGCAAACACTAGTTAACAATCTCTTGGTTTAATACTGATTAAACAAGGATAGCAGTTGACCTTTTTTTGCAATGAGTTTACCATGAGTGCCTAGGAGTTACAGAAACCACCACTAAAGGCCAGCAAGATAGCTCAGCAGACAAAGCACCTGCTTTGGCAAGCACAAGGACCAGGGTTCAATCCCCAGTCCTGCCTGCCATGCTGCGCCCCCCCCCCAGGGTGGGGGGCATGCTGAGCTGCCAAACGAGTCTGGGTGTGGTGGTGCACACTTGTAAACCCAGTGCTGGGGAAACTGAAAACAGGAGGATCGCTATGAGTCCGAGCTGCATAGTGAGACCTTGTACTAAATACATAAATGAAAAAAAAAAAGGCCGGCAAGATAACTCAGCAGTCTAAAACACCTGCATAGGCAAGCTTAGGCAGGCACAGGGGACCACAGTTCAATCCCTGGCACCACATACCGTGCCAGCCCCACCCTGAGGGCAGGCAGAGCCAGCAAAATAAATAAATAAAATGAAATGAAAAGAGAAAAGAAAAGAAAAAAACACCCCTAAAATCTAGCACAGGAAAGGAAAAGACTCATATCAATATCATTGTCATCGGACATTCAGTCAAGTCTGCCACTACAGACCATCTGATCTATAAATGTGGCGTTGACGAAAGAAGCTTTGAAAAATTTAAGGGGGAACCTGCTGAGGTGGGGCAGGGTTCCTTCAAGTACACATGGGTCTTATGGGCCTGGTGTCACCATGACACCTGCTTGTGCAAGCATTATATGACTATCATTGATGCCCCAGGACACAGACTTTATCAAAAATGCGATTTTTATTTTTATTTTTTATTTTTTGGGCTGGCTCAGCCCACCCCAAGGGCTGGCATGGCATGTGGTGCCAGGGATTGAACCGCGGTCCCTTGTGGCATCCTAAGCTTGCCTAAGTAGGTGCTTTAGACCACTGAACTATCTTGCCAGCTCCCAAAAACACCATTACAGGCACATCTCAGGCTGCCTGTGCTGCCCTGTTAGTTGCTGCCAGTATAGGTGAATTTGAAGCTGGTATCTCCAAGAATGAGCAGAGCAGTGACCATGGCCTTCTGGTTCAGATGCTGGATGTGAAGCAACAGTTAACGAAGTGGATGCCACTAAGCCACCCTATAGGCAGAAAGGATACAAGGAAAACATTAAGGAAGTCACTGCCTAAAGTAAAAAAAGTAGCTACAACCTGACACAGGTTTTTAATGCCAATTTCTGGTTGGAATGGTGGCAGTATGCTGGAGTCAAGTGCACATATGCCTTGGTTCAAGGAATGAAAGGTCACTCATAAAGATGGCAGTACCAGTAGAACCACACTGCTTAAAGCTTTGGATTACATCTTAGCACCCACTCACTGGACTGACCAGCCTTTGTATCCACTCCATCAGGATGTCAGCCAACTCGTAAATACTCTCCCTGTGGGCCTAATGCAGGCTAGTATTCTCAAACCTGGCATGGTGGTCATCTTTGCTCCATTGTCACAACTGCAGGAAAGTTTGTTGAAATGCACTGTGAAGCTTTGCATAAAGCTCTTCCTGGGGACAGTGTGGGCTTCATCATCAAGAACATGTCTGGCAGAGATGTTCGTTGTGGCGTTGTTGCTGGTGACAGCAGAAGTGACCACCAGTGGAAGCAGCTGGTTTCACTGCTCAAGGGATTATGCCGAACCATCCAGGGCAAATCAGTATAGCAGGCGAGGCCCTCCCACACACTGTTACACAGCTCACATTGCTTGCAGGTTTGCTGAGCTGAAAGAAAAGACCAGTTGTCCTTGCCCAGATATCATTGAAGTCTGGTGATGTCACTATCATTGATAATAGTTCCAAGCTTGTGTCAAGAGCTTCCCTGACTGCCCTGCTATGGGTCATTTTGCTGTTCACAATGTGAAACAAACAGTTGCTGTGGGTGTCATCAAAGCAGTGGATGAGGAGGCTGATGGAGCTAGCAAGGTCACCACATCTTCTCAGAAAGTGCAAAAGGCTAAATGAATATCATCACTAACACCTTCCACCCTTGACTTAATCAGTGGTGGAAGATCAGTCTCTGAACTCTCTAGTTGGCCACTTAAGTTTAACACTGTAATGAAGTACTGATTAAAGATAACATCACAAAACCTGCAGAAGAAAAGGAGAATGTTCTGTAGATCACTTGGGAATTTTTTTTTTTTAAATTTAGTATAGGGTCTACAGTGTCTCACTATGTAAATCGAACTCATAGTGATCCTCCAGTTTACAGCCTCCCAAGTGCTGGAATTACAGGTGCGCACTACCACGCCCAGTCTGAATCACTGCCCAGTCTCAATCACTGTCTCACTGTGCCCCGAGGGTGGGGCTGGCATGACAGGCCTGGGGATCAAACCCCCAGCCCCTGTGTCTGCCTAAGCAGGTGCTTTATCCGCTGAGCTATCATTTGGGGTTTTTTGTGTGTGGCAGTTTTAAGTTATTTTTTTATTTTTTATTTTTTGCGGAACCAGGGATTGAACTCAGGCCCTTATACTTGCCAGGCAAGCGCTTATTCTACTGAGCTATCTCCCTGGCCCCTTAAGTTATTTTTTAAATCAACATTTTTTGGGGGCTGGCCAAATAGCTTAGCAGAGTAAAGCGCTTGCTTACACAGATGCAGCAGCCAGGGTTTGATCCCCAGTGTGCCATGCCAGGCTCTGGGGTGCTAAAATGGCGATTGAGACTGGGCGTGGTGGCGTGCACCTATGTCCCAGTACTTGGGAGGCTGTAAATGGGAGAATCATTTACAAGTCTGATCTAGTAGTGAGACCCTGAACACCCTGTAGCCCCTTCTCTAAAATACAATAATGGGGCCAGGAAGATGGCTCAGTAGAATAAGCGCTTCCCTGGCAAGTGCAAGGGCCCAAGTTCAATCCCCGGTTCCGCTAAAATCAATCAATCAATCAAACAAACCATTAAAAACCTCATTTTTTTTTTAATGGAAACAACTTGACCAAAAGTGTTACAGAAGTTTAACATCCATTAAAATAAAGTGTAGGGCTGGAGAGATGGCTCAGTGATCTAAGGCACCTACTTGGAACAAGCTTGGCAAAGCATCAGGGACCGCGGTTCAA